TATATATATATATATGTATATGTATATATATATATATATATATATATATATGTGTTGTATGATAATGTATATTATTTTATATATATATATATATAGATATGTATATATATATATATATATATATATATGAGATATATATGTGTATATATATATATTATATATGTATGTATGTATGTATGTATGTATGTATGTATATATATATATATTATATATACTACACACACAGACAGAGAGAGAGACACACGCACACACATATACACACACAGTCATATATATATATATATATGTCTGTGTCCGTGTCTGTGTCTGTGTATGTATGTATGTATGTATGTATGTATGTGTGTGTTTATATATATATATATATATATATATATATATATATATATATATATATGTCTGTGTCTATGTATATATATATATATATATATATATGTATATATATATGTATGTATGTTTATGTATATGTATATATATGTGTATGTGTGTGTGTGTATATTTATTATATATATATGTATATATATATATATATGTATATATATATATATATATATATATATATATATATGAGTATGTGTGGGTGTGTATATATATATGCGTATATATGTATATGTATACTAATAATTATTTCATTTGTACATTTATTATTTATTATGTAGAGTACTATTGTTTTGAGTTCAGTCGTGATATGATGTTTTGCTTGTTTTTAACTACATGGTTCACCTCTACATACTATTATTCGCATTTACAGCCCCAGCGCCACTCATTCACATATGCCTTTTTATGCTAGTTTCTATCGTCCATTTAACTTCTAGGCATACACTGCGATCCTGTAGGGCCGAGGATCGCTTTCTTTTTAGGATCGAGTTATGTGTATATAGTTTTAGCCTTGTTGAGTACATGTTTAGGGCGCATGCCTTGTACTATCTTTCACTTCTTAATTCCTACGTCTTACTTAATCATCAGGGTTATCAGTCGCAGGAGTATCAACCGGTATACCCGCCGGCGTATGCGGACGAGGAAAGCGCGGGCGCGTACGGACAGATAGAAGTGGACAAACCGTTTGACGACCCGAACGTGCGACAAAGCTTTATACGCAAGGTTTTCGCTTTGCTGTCCATCATGCTGATTGTGGTCACGGTTGTGACGGCCCTATTTCTGAATAATGACCACATACATAGCTTTATCAGGTAAGTGTTGCGGATGCTATTCGCTTGTGGTGCTCGGGGAATGAAGTATCGCCGTGCCTCGTATGATATGTTCTACACTGCAGCGTAGTGGATATCGGTGGATGTTACTTAATTTGTATATATCTGCGTGTTCAGTCGGCTAAGAGTCCTGTGCTGTCGACAACACTCGTCTGCCACTGGTACGCATATTGCGGGTCTTGTTTTGTAGTCTTGGTATTGGTGCTCAGTATACTGTTGGTTTAGTCGCAATCATTTCCCACAATTCGACCTATGTCTTGTATCCGTACGCGTTCCTCTTCCGCCAGATCACAGGGCACTACCGTATATACTATATCGAATTCCCGGCCTGTTCTCACACGTTCATCGCATGTTCTATTGCAGGCACCATAGCTGGGTCTCTCTGGTGGCTTGTGGTATGGCCATCTGTTCAATGTTGCCACTGATATGCTGTGAAGGGCTTGCGCGAAAGCATCCCACAAACCTCGTAGTTCTGGGCATATTCACCTTTGCGCAGGCGTTTATGGTCGCAACTGTGTGTTGTTTCTACAGCACGCATGTGGTATGTGGCGCGTGTTTGTGTTTGATTCGGAAGGTCCATATCCACTTTTGTAACGTTTATTCAACATACCGTTTCTTTCCGTTGCATGGTTGCTAAACATTACAGAATCCTATTCGTTTTCTTCATAGGTAATGAAAGCTCTGGCCATCACGGCGTTTGTTACGGTTGGGATCACTGCCTTCGCCATGCAAACAGTAAGTGTCACTCTCCCATAGGCCGTCTGTACGCTTTCTTACCCATTGTGATTTGATGGATGAGTCAGCATTCGTCAGTACCACTCAAGTATTCTATGCACGCATATCGCGATTTGCTTTTTGTTGTTTTTAAAGCTACGGGTGTGCGCGTATCGGCTTCCGTAGTATTGGAAACTGCTAATTCTGCTTATATTACGTGCTCGCGTTACATTCTATCTCATATGTACATCTTTTTTCCACAGAAAATTGACTTCACATTCATGGCTGGTGCCCTTTGCCTGGTGGGGATGGTTCTGATGGGAATGTCCATCTTTATGATATTCTTCCACTCCAGGTGTGCGGGTTGATGATGTATTGCATTTCGCTGCAGATATGCCGGATATACATTGCATACATTTATTAAGTTTTTGTTTTGCATCCACGTGTTTATATATTTATATATTTATATATATATATATATACATATATATATATACATATATATATATATATATATATTGATATATTATATATATATGTATATATATATATATATACATATATATAGTATATATAAATATATATATATATATATGAATATATATATATATATGTGTGTGTATATATATGTATTGGTATATTGATATATTGATATTGTTTATTGTTTATTTGTAAAGATATATATTCGATATCTACCCTGGCCCCTTGCGCCAGTCATTCGTTGTAAATTCCGCACAGACTATTTTTAGGACGTCCATCACGTTCATATAACACGCTCATAAACGATGTGTTTTTGGAGCACATTCATTCTAAGATGCAGTTAGCTGCATCGCATCCCGTACCCACATTAGCACTGAAGTGTCCGCTGCACACGTTTTCAGCCTTGGACGTCTACAGGCCACATGCTTGTAAGCACATGCAAGCTATATACGATATATAAAATGAGGTAGCTCAATCTCGTATTCGTTTCAGTAGGATTGATAGACCATCCTTGTAGAGTAATACCAGAAATAGCTTCTTCCTGGAGACTGATCTGTAGCAAGAAGCACTGCTATACATAACAGATTGCTTGAGTGTTCCAGGTAGCCTCCCCGTCAACGATTACACAATAAAACTAACAGACTATATCACGCATCCCACCATGCTCTAGGTTGGCAGACCTGCTCTTCAGTGGCCTGGGCGCGTTTCTTTTCGGCCTGTGGCTACTGGTGGATGTGCAGATGATTGTCGGAGGCTCGCACTCGCAACAATTTGATCCAGAGGACTATGTGTTTGCTGTGTTGACATTGTTCATGGATATCATCAATCTCTTTCTCTATATCCTGCGATTGGTGGAGTTGTTGGACAACAGCAGTTCGTAGGCAGTCGAGGCAGCATTAAAAAAGACTTACGCTCTGAATTTTACCACTCATGTATGTATGTATATCACTTATTCATTCGGAAGCTGTTTTTGGCACTTGCTTTGCAAACTATGAACTGCGATTGAAAAACAGGAGGTCATGAGCAGTCGAAGAATTTAAGAAACAGATTGAAAAGGCATTTGAGAAGAAAAACAGTGTATGTAAACATAGCCTTCTGAAATACAGATGTAATGCTCTGAAAAAAATGGTCATTGTGTACTTCATCGCCCACAATATAATGTTATGTTGAAATTTTGGCAAAATTTTGCTGTCGTATCCGCGCGTACCTCGTCGCCCGTCGGTGCAATATCGAAAACTGCATCCAAGAAATCCAACAATGTATTGCGCATACGGATGATAATGACTATGCTAGCATACCACGCGTGACTAGTTGCGTCATGGTTTTGCTAAACAAAAATTAGTTACTTTCTCATAGAGAACCTCAGCACTATTCCAATATACAAAAGCCACTCGTGAGCGCCCACGGTTGGCACGCTAGGATCATATTTATTAGGAGAAACCTTGGCTGCACACTCGCAGCTATTGTTATGTGTTGTCTTTAATGACTTTTAAAGACGTTTAATTGCCCTCTGAGTCATTCGAGGCAGGTACATTCATCAGAGTCGAAACTGGTAGTCAGGAAAAGATGTACCGATGCAGACCTTAATTACTTGAGAGAAGAACCCCGTTCTAGATGAGCAATATTTCTAATCTGAGGAGTTATCAGCAATGAAGATAGTATTTATGCCCAACAAGCCATGTGTGCGGACTTCTGCCTGCATAGGCGGATTGCTATTAACGTGGAATGATAGTTGCTCGAAGTACAATACTATTATACTAATGATAATTTGACCCTCGTATTTCTCCCTCTATACTCACTAAGCAACAGGAATACACGATAATTCGAAATAGCTCGTATTGAAGCCATAGACAGCTTGGGGCATTCAGCAGTTGAAACATCTCTACATAGTAGCTGACAAATACGCAATGTCAGAAGCCCATAATACAAATCTTCTAAGTACATGGAACGTTCGGTGGCGGTGGATAATTAGTACCATACAGTAACATAGGGTTGTTTCTGTAAATGTTCCTGCTCACTGATACGTCCTTTACTATCCAGATTTGAATAGTTGAATGAATTCGGACGCACACTTGTGTCTGCACAAGCGTCTGATTATGGTCCATCTGAACCTCCGCAAAAAGTGTCTATTTCGAGGGCCACAGTAGCTCATACATACCAGTCCTTTCGGCCGGATTCAGGATACCTGATGAAGTATAGTGCTGCATCGGATTTGCATGCATCTTGCTATTGTATTCAGTATGTAAATATGTGCACATGATTTTTTTAAAGCTGCCCGCTGCATACATAAAATTTTAAAATAATAAACCGCCTGTTTAAATCCGGTTGGTGGTAACCAAGATACTAATAAATACCAAGCAACAAAGCATCGAACATGTTCCAAAAAATTGGAATGCCCGGTCGCTATCGATCATTTCATATGCTATTTACATTCTATACTGATAAAAAAACCATGATAAGCAGTTGACGATTGGCATTATATGACATCCTGGTACCATTGCAGAGAATGAATGGACAATAGGGGCACAGGCACTCAAACCAGTGATACACGTCCACGCGTGCAGTAACATTCTTGTGCAGGCTTGTGTGCAACCACGGTTGCTGTAAATTGCATTCAATCTACCTTTATATTAGTGGTGCATATTTATAGGACGTATTCAGTATGGATGTAGCAGAGATCACCATGCTCGCTATCGGCGGCGCAACGTGTTTATTGCTAATGATGTATAGTGAAAGTGGGATAGTACTCTGTGGTGTCACTACTAAGTCCGGCAGCTCGGTGAAGACTCTCATTTTGCAAGATAGGGAGCCTACAGCAAGCATGGCACCGGCAACGGGCGAAATTGCTGCTCAAGGTACTGAAGTTGATGTATGCGTTTTTATATCCGACGAGAATAGACAAATAAAGAATTTCATTCCGGACTTGTACATTACAGACGATTCCAAAGGAATTTCATATAGTTGTGGTTAATTTAGATTTTCATTCCATTCTGCGGTACCTAACCCTTGCATATGTCTGCAAGAAATATATTGACACATGTGTAGGCCCTATTCTCCCTATGTATACTTCAATTATTGTGTATATATATATATATTGTGTGTGTGTGTATGTGTGTGTGTGTATGTACATATATATATATATATGTGTATATATATATATATATATATATATATATATATAGTATATATATATATATATATAGTGTGTGTGTGTGTGT